TTGCGTTTGTTTTTGTGTGTATGTCAGTACATCAGCATGAATGGTTGTTATTATTTAAACATCTTAAAATTTACACATAAAAGAAAGGTAAGGCAAAAAAAATCACTAGGCTCATACCAAGAAATTCCAAGGTAGAAACTGTGAATGTCTATTTAATTTGGTACCACATTACAAAAATCCAAGCATATTTTACCCTGGTAAGACTACATTGCAAAATGGAAATATTTTAAATTTAAAGACATAGAATGAAAGAAATATTTGAAACAACAATTTTAATAATACAGTGTTATCTGTATTACCTCTAGCTTCAGGCTGATGCCATCAACGCTTTCGGAGAATCACTACAAAAGAAACTCCTGGACATTGAAGGATTATATTCAAAAGTTCGATCTCGTTATAGTTTCATACAGGCTCTTGTCAGACGTATCCGTGGCCTACTGAGGATATCAAGGAACTGAGCCTGTTCTTTTGCTCTTCAGTGGAAGAGATAAATTGGGAAACACTGTCTTCTTTTTATAGTTTGTTTCTAAATTATGACCAAAAAAATATTTTGCTATTTCTTTCTTTATATATGGACATTTTTTTCTGTAAACTCTTTGTCTCATTTCATCCTCACTTGTAAAAAAAAAATAAATAAATCTTTTTTAAAAAAACAAAGCAAATGTATGGTCACTCTTTTGAAGTTTTATCTAGGACATGATCAACATTACTGAAAATCTAACAAATAAATCTCTACATTACTAGTTTGCCCCTAAAGACATTCTGAACATTAAAATAAAGGCATAGTCTGGAAACACTTTTTTTGCTCATTGTACTTACATTATAATTTTATGATATTCATGGTTACTCCATGGGGTAAGGTGGATAATGAGCTCTTGCCATCTTTTGTTATTGAATAGTCTGCAATACCTGAAAGCGTATTATAGAAATGCTCAAAAAGTCATCTCTCTGCTAAAATTAGGTTTTGCCCTTTTTTCCTTTTCAGTATATAAAATGACAGTATGTTAATTTGCATTTGTTCCTTACAAATAATTGTGACATTTCTCAAATTAATCATATTTCAATACTTCTCATTAATATAATGGGTATCTCCAGGATTTAAAAAAATTATATAATCACCACTATTTCCCAGTTATATTCAAGTGACTCTGTCATCTGAGGGAACATTTTTTCCTTTCCAACCAGCAATTATTTTAACCTAATATATAGGAGAGACTACTAAGAGAGGAAGAAGTCTTGATTCATGTAGAAACAGAAAATTAATACTTAGTTCTATGGTGTTGTGGTGTTTTCTTTTTTACATCTAATAAAATTTCCATGACTTTTAAGTATTTTTTTTAAAGGCTTGATTATTGTTATATTCTGAAGTTGATTTATTGCCCACTAGTTATAAACAATAGTCTTTAGCTGGACAATAGTTAATAGAAACCTTAGTGGGAGGTAAATGAATGAAATGAGTGGATCCAAAATACTGTCCTCATGTCTGTTGCTCCACTGCTCATATAAAAACACACATATACTTTTTTTTTTTTTTTTGGACTGGGGTGAACTTAGGGCCTCACACAAGCTAGGCAAGTGTTCTGCCTCTAAGCTACACCCCAGCCTGCATATAGTAATAATCTTTTATCTGGAACACAGGCTCATATCCTGAATGACCAGCAAAACTGTGCATGGAAACTAAGCACTTTATAAACCTGTGAACCCTTCCATAGGAGATATTTGCTAAATTTGGAATTGAAATTGTGGGTTTACTAAACACCATTATCTTGTTTTCTTATTTCTTCCAAAAGTGTAGCTGATTGAAGATCAAAAGTTGGGGCAGTGGAGAAGTATGAGGGAGTTGGAGAAAGGACTGCAGCTTTATTGTGGTGCTGGCCAGAAATGCTTTTTTTCTGATAAGCAGCAACCTGGTTGGGCTTTGTTACCTAGGGCAAATGGTGTTGGGTACAGCCTGGCCGTTCAGCCAAGCAAAGGGGAGGAAACCAGGGTTAGATACTTTTTTTTTTTTAAAGTTAGCATTTTAAGTAAAGGTTCATCTAATCCTCAAAAATACTAAATTGATGTACGATTTTAATTCATTTTTACTGAGTTCATCAGTTTGTTGGTGTTGGAAAATAGGTGTACTCTCTTCCTAGTCGTTACAACAATAGTTTTGACAAATGGATGACATGTAAATTAACATGTCTTTTTGAACTATACACATTCTAGCCTGTTCCAAATATTTGTCTATTGTTTTCCCAACTCTTAAAAATTTTTGAATTAGAATAGTTGGAAGAAAACTAAAATAAAACCAAATACTTTTTACCTAGATTCAAATTGTCAATAATTTGCATATGTTTATGTGTGTTTGTGTTAATACTTATGTATCTAATTTTTTTCCTTAACTTGTAATCATGACACTATCCCTAAATATTTTAACAAGAACAATATTTTCTTCTGAACTACAATTATCACATTTAAGACATTTGATAAAAAATATTTTCTAATAGTCTGTCCATATCAAAATTTTCTCAATTGATCAAAAAATGTACTTTAGAACTTTTATTGGACCTAGGATCTGATCAAGAATTATACATTGTAATCAGTCATTTTATTCTTAAACAGTTCCTCACCCTTTTGGTGGGGAAGGTGGTAAAGTACTTCAGCAATTTTGAAAAAGCTTCCACACTTCCACCCTTCTTTTGATTAGATTCAGGTTAAACATTTTCAGTAAGAATCCAACTGTATAGGTGATCTTATAACTGTGCCTTAAATACATCATATCAGAGCCCTGTGCATGCCTGTAATCCCAGTGGCTCAGGAGGCTGAAGCAGGAAGATCGTGAGTTCAAAGCCAGCCTTAGCAAAAAAAAAAAAAAAAAAAAGGATATCAGAAAATTCATAACAGACTCATGATATTAAGTCTGATCTCTTGGTCAAGATGGTGTTTAACACACATCTCCATTATACAGGTTATTTCTTTCCCGTTGTAATAAGTAATCTGTGGGTGATAACTTTGAAAACTTAACAATTGTTTTAATTCAAGTATTTTATTTAAAAATTAGGTTCAATCATATAAATAATATAATCAATATAATAAGCATCAAGATACTTAGGCTTATGTCATACACCCAATTTATTTTTCCTCAGGTCTTTGTTTTTTGTGAAAAGAAATATGGTAGATATCATTGAAGCCCCTGTGAAATCCCTGATCCCACTGTCCTACTTCCCTCTCAAGAACTCATTGTTGGGGCTGGGGATGTGGCTCAAGTGGTAGTGCGCTCACTTGGCATGCACGCAGCGCTGGGTTCGATTCTCAACACTACATACAAATAACGATGTTGTGTCCACCGAAAAACTAAAGAATAAATATTAAAAAATTATCTCTCTCTCAAAAAAAAAAAACAACTCATCGTTAATCCTACCCATATGTTTTACACTTCCACTCCATATGGGTATATTCATAGGCATTAAATAGTATTGTTTTGCAAGTTGGTAATGTTTTTATGTGTGTCAATACTGTGTGGAGTAATTTGCAATTTTTTTCATTCAACATTGTTTTTGATAATTTCTCGTTTGTTTATTATGATTATTGAATAGTTACAGTATTTTATTGTACAAGTACACTACTTTATGCCTTGTACTAACAGTGGATTTGCAGACATTTAGGTTTCTAAAATTTTGCAAACTACAATGACTATCATATGTGTCTCTCTGGTTGAGACAGACTCTTAAGGCTTATATAGGGATAGGAAGATTACTGTGTCCACCTATAACTAAAAAATATATATTTTTTAAAAAGAAGATTTATACAGAGTATATAATTAGAAGTGAAAATCCTGCATTAAAGGTTAAGAGCTTTCCTTTCATCAGACATAATTTTTTTTCTTGGTGGTTGCCTTATTGTACCCCTATCTGTGTGACTACACCATGGATAATACTTCCAGTTGTACATTTAATTTTAACGAATCTGATGAGTGTAAAACAGTTAAGTATCTCAACTGATTTGCATATTTGTGTATTATTCGCCATTTTTTTCCCTAATATGCTTCCTCCACCCCATTTTCTGTGAAGGGAGTGATTATACATCGAGAATGGCTTTAATTTTTTCAGTTTTCTTTGCAGATATTTGCTTTCAGTCTATTGACTGATTTTATAGTGTACATTACTGTTTTCATTTTAAATTATTTTTTCCTTCAATCTGAGATCATAAAGATTTTTCTTCTGTTAGTTTGTCAGAAAGAAGCAATGAGTCACATGTATGGAGAAAAACAGAAATGTAGAGAAAATATTTAAATTCCTAATACTGCATTGTTGTCCATCAGATCTATATAATGCATTCCTGTTTTGTTCAAGCTTATATGACTTTGAGGTTTTTATTATTTATAATCAGTTCTACTTAATATAGTAGATTAGGTTGATTTGGAGTACTGAGAGCAGAGAAGGGTGGGTTCACTGTGTGTGTGTGTGTGTGTGTGTGTGTGTGTGTGTGTGTGTGTGTGTTTTAGGGGGTATTTTTGTCTATATTGACCCCCTTTCTGATCTCAGTTCTACCAGGTAGCTGATGTGAATTGCATTTATACAGGCGGAAACTGAACTTTAGAAGTGTTAGTTGCCCTTGGCTGCCAGATATTGCAAAGAAATCAGGGATTGGACTCATTGCTGTGCTAGCACCCATATGTCTCCATCTTAACACTCAAGCACTTAACCTCGATCAGGAGTCCTCAGGTAGGTTGCACTAGTGGAGCTTTTGAAAATTCCTCCCTAGTACCTCAGAATCCACGTGAGGTTTGGGTAAATGTTGGGAAGGGCTCCCAGGCCATTGAGCTGCGCATCCAGGGATGGGACGCGCTTCTTTATCCCGTCTTGTGAGCCACGGTGCCCTAAACCTGGCTGTGATCAGAATCTTTGGTGTGCTTGGATGAACCCAGATAGCTGGGCATCTGGGCAAGTTTACAGAAGCGGAAGTTCAAAGTGGTCCTGTTCTGGCGGCGAGCCTGAGATGCTCCGCTAGGGGGCGCCTCGAGACGCTTCCGGGGGCGTGGCGTGGCCCGGAAGCAGACGGTCGGTTCCGCCTTCGCGCCCGGGCAGGCAGGCTCGGACCGGCCCGTGGAACTGTAGCCGCCCTTCTGTCCCTCCTTGTGTTCTCGGCCGACAGCATGCTCCAGTTCCTGGTGAGTGGAGCTGCCGAGGAGCGGGACCCGCAGCTCAGGGTCTCCTCGGGATCCTGCCGCGCCAGCGGTGGCCCTTGAGCTTTGGGCGCGGGACCGTCCCCGCGGCCCCGTGCCTGTGGTCGCCTCTCGGGGAGGCCTGTGGGGTTTTTTTCCTGCCTCTCCCCAGATCCTTTGCCAGCGTTCATCTGCAGGCATCCCAGGTCTTAAAACTTAGGGGAGTTCAGGGCGCTCATTGTGTAATCCTCCCTTGCAGGCTTTGTCATTAGACGTCCTTAGTGACTTTTTGTAGTCGTCCCCACTTATGTGGTCCTGTCCCCCGACAAAGGCCCAGGCCCCATCCTGACTTAGAGCTTGATGGTTGGCCGCCACCTCACGAGGTCAATGAGAGCCTTCGGCAGCCTCACCCGACCTTTTTATAAGTTTCTGACTTTGAGAAGTGAGTCAGACACTGTTGTACAAGTAATTTTTCCCAGAATCCGTTTTTATTTTAGGCGAGGTGGGGGTATGAGTACAACCATGAGTAAGCAGATTATTTCTCATGGCTGCTATTTGAGTTAAAAATGCATTTTCTGGCAAAGGCCGGTGCAGGTCGGTTCCAGGAGGACTTGCCAAAGTTCCAAGTGAAAGTTTTTGACCAAACTGTTGTGCGTCCATACTTGATGCTTTCAACCTTTTATTTTATTATTATTGTTGTTGTTGTTCTTGTTGTTATGTAGTGCTGGGGATTGAACCAAGGGCCTTGTGCATGCGAGGCAAGCCCTCTACCAACTGAGCTATATCCCCAGTCCTCACTCTTATTTTATCATCATTAACATCATAATTTTGGTGATTAAACTCAAGGGTGATCTACTATTGAGCTACATCCCCAGCCCTTTTTTTTTTTTTTTTAAGACAAGGTCTTGCTAAGTCGCCTGGCTGAGCTGGAATTTGCCATCTCTCTGCTTCAGCATCCCGTGTAGCTGGAATTACAGGTGTGGTTGCCATTATGCCCAACTCAACCTCTACTTCTAATGAGGCAGATATTCTGTATCTTTTAGATGATCAGTGGAAACCCTGCTGCTCTGGGAATGAGTTGATTTCTCAAATAGTACTTTGGAAAGATAGCGATTGTTTATTAAGTCCAGTTAACCAAGAGAGAATCCTAGATCTAAACTGCTAAACAGGGCCGCTCCTTTGCCTGTGGGAGTTTCTATAGTGTCTTAAGTGTTAGCTTAGGAGTTAGGAGTAATTAGCAGCTGCTTGTAGGAAGCACTTAGTTAAAAGCAGTATCAGCCTCTAAGTCTATGATGACATAATTGATTGTCCCACCACATCAGTTCCTCATTGATAAACTGAGAGGTCATTGGCCAGTTACAATTAACTTTTTAAGTGCTTTTGCAGCAGAATTGAGTTTATTTCTGCTGTGTATAAACATGGATTCTGATTTGAGAATTCAAAATTCTCAGCATTGAAGGAGAGATGCTGAAGCCATTGATTGAATTCCTAGCTCTTAAGTAACTAGACTCTGTTGCCTCCTGGCCTCTCTCCTACCTGTTGCTTTTGTTGAAAACGGTGGATAGCATTGCTTTTCACACTGAGTCCTCCTCTTTTACATGATTTACTAACTTTGTTAACTTGGGCAAGTCTTTCTCTTTGTTTTCAGTCATTTCAACTGTAAAACATGGCTGTCATGTCCTAGTGTTTAAGAGATTGGACTCCAGAATCAGACTGCTTGGGTTTGAATTCTGCCTCTTATCATTCTCAAGCTGTGGGAGTTTGGGTGGGTTATTTAAATTTTCTATGCTTCTGTTTCCTCATCATAGTTTTGTTATGAGGATTAAAAATAAGTTAATATAGTAAATACTTAGTGAAGTTCCAGTGCACTTGTGTTGCTTATATATTCCTTTCTCCTTAAAGTATTTGTCCATAATTCCTATATTTACAAGTTGTTCCTAGTTTAGCTAAATTATTTTAAGGAAGCTGTTCTAAGGGAAAGCCTAATTGGTGTCACTGCTGTGGCTCTGTGCATGCCACTGTGGTACTGTTACTGTTGTCATTTGTTTTTCTGCTTTGGGGCAGCAGCACTTTCAACTCAGATCACCTCATCTTTGATCTTCGTTGGCTTTTGGATCCCGTATCTTGGTACTTTTCAATATTCTTTCATGTTATAACATGCAAAAATTATTTTTTTCATGGAAAAACCCACAGAGTGACCTTGACCATCTCTGGGTGCTGGCTCTTCCCAGGGCTGAGGTATCATATCTGCTTGCACCAGTTTGGGAAACTGCTCTTATTTCTCCTGTTTTTACTGGCTGCTTTTCCCTGCTCTTGGTTACTATGTGTTGTTCAAGGCTTAGTCCTTGACCTTCCTCTATCCTCTATAGACTCACTTATAGGGAATGGGTTTCTTTTCATGCCATCACATCTCACCTGTTTGCAGACAGTTTCCAAAACTACCTTGAGTCCATCCAGTTTCCTGATATCAAATCAGCTGACCTTTTCATGTCTGCCTCTTAGACTTCACCAAATCAGCTGACCTTTTCATGTCTGCCTCTTAGACTTCACCAAATCAGCTGACCTTTTCACTTCTGCCTCTCAGACTCCACATGTCCAGACCCATTATCTCTTCCTTCCAATTCCTATCCCACCTAATTTCTTTTTCTATTCTCCTGCTCTCAAATTTATCTTCCATATTTGAAATGTTGACATAGTCTTTGATTTATTTCTTTTCTTCATTCTTGGGGGTGGTGGTGTTGTTTGGTACTGGATATTGAACCCAGGGGCACTTAGACACTGAGCCACATCCCCAGTTCTTTTTATTTTTAATTTTGAGACAGTGTCTCACTAAGTTGCTTAGGGACTCACTGAGTTGCTGAGACTAGTTTTGAACTTGTGATCCTCCTGCCTTGGCCTCCCTAGCAGCTGGAATTCCAGGTATGTACCATGGCACCTGGCTTCTTCATGCTTCATATTACTTTCCTGCTATATAATCTTGGGCAAGTTCTTTAATTGCTCTCTGCCTCAGTGTTCCCAACATGAAACTGGACAATGCTAATATCTGCTTTGTAAGGTTATAGCAGTTCTACCTGGTACACCCTTTTCCAGAGTGATACTGGTTTCTCATGAATGTCTCTATTTAATTTACTGGTGCAATAAGAGTTAACTCATGGAAAAAAAAAGAATTAGAATGTTACCTTGCATGTAATAAGCTGTCAATAAAAAAATTTTTTTGAGCCATTTAGTCTCGTTGCTTATTTAGGAAAAGTTCTCTCTGTTCCCCCTACTACTTTTGCAGAGTGGGTAGTTTTCATTGCACTCTGACTAGCTAGCTGATATAGAATGTATTATATTTTGAATTGGAAGGGTTATTTTAGGCTCTACATTTTAGCTAATATGCTGATGGTTAATCTCAGCTACTAAAGGCCCTAGGAAGGGTATGTACAAGGCACTTGGTCAATACTTCGTGATTGATTTTGTTTAAAATTGGCTCTCCAGATTAGTCGCTGCTTCTGCAGATTCAACTGTGGATCAGAAATATTTGAAAAAAAAATTGCATTTATATTGAACATGTAAATTTTTTCCTTAACATTATTCCTAAATAATAACAGCAAAATGACTATCTAAAAATATAGCCTTTTATATTGTGTTAGGACTTCTAAGTAATCTGGAGATGATTTAAAGTATACAGGAGAATGTGTATAGGTTACCATACCATTTTATAGAGGGTCTTGAGCATTTGCATATTTGGTAGTTGAGGGGGTCCAGGAACCAGACCCCTGTGGATTTTGGGACAGCTGTATTTAATTGTAGGTCTTTGTCCTTTGCCTCATTACTACTCTCAGTCATAATACAATTGAATATTTGCCTCAGCTTCTTTGAGAACAGTCAAACCAGTTCTACATGGTACACCTTTTTCCAGAGTGTTACTGGTTTTTCATGAATGTCTCTATTTAATTTACTGCTTCAATTAAAGATTTAACAGTTTTTATCCCCTTATTCCTTTTTTTTTATTCTCTAAGCAGAATTATTGAATATAAAACGTAGTTACTCTTAAAAATGTGCTTCTCTGTGGCAATAATCGAAGGGATATAGATTATGTCCTTAGATTTTCATTTTAATGTACAGAATGAGTTTTATTATTACTTGAAGTATTGTTAAACTCATTTGAAAATGTTCTCCACATCAGGTTTAAAAACTAAGGCACAAAAATATGGTGACTTGTTTTTGTGCCTCCATAGAATGTAGAAGTCTTTTGACTGGTTCTCTAGCTGAGTCTGAAATTGAGAAATAAAATTACCAACTTTATTAGTAATGTTTAATTTTGTTTTGTTTTTCTTCTTAGTGTAGACTTTCTTACCTTGAGCCATGAATCATTTTTAGGTACCCTTTTGAATGCTAGTTGTAGCTATATTTGCTAAGTAAAATGAGATTATTTTTAGATTTCTTAAATGGTGTGTCACTTTTGAAAATGTAATTGATGAGTCATAGTTCAGACTTGTCAGATACTTTGGGCTATTGTCAGCCACTGTAAGTTATTGCCAGGAGCCTACTCCAAAAACATATTGTAGCTTTATTTGCTAACAGCTTTTTGATTGGGGAAGGAATTGAGCAAGAGTCAGTTTACTTTGGATTTGGCTTTGTTCTTTTAAGAGTTTGTGCTTTTTTTACGTTAATAGGTCAAGTATTGTGACTGATCTGCTCCTGTATGTCCAAACAACAACAACAACAAATGGCTGAAAACATTTTTCATGGAGTGTTCATACGGAGCCAATTATCTGACTTTTTCATTCAGTTTATCTCCCTTTTTCATTTCTGACATTTCCATTCTTTTTAAACATTTGTCCATTCTGGAAGCCTCAAAATTGTCTTTGATTTCTTTAGGTTCATCCCAGTGACTGACGTCATTTTACCAAATTTTAATAACTTTTTCAGCTTTGAGATCCAATTCATCCATTTAAGATACATAGTGTTTTGTTTGTTTGCTTATTTTTGTATCAGGGATTGAATCCAGGGAGCTTTATTGCTGAGCCACATTCTCTAATCCCCATTCTGTTTTTTTGAGACAGAGTCTCTTTAAGTTGCTATGGCTGGCCTAGAAACTTGGGTTCCTCCCGCTTCAGCCTCCC